CACAGTGTCTTTTACACACACACACACACACACACACACTGGTACAATAAAGTTTTGTGAGTAGGATTTAGTGGCATCTATTGGCGGAGTTGCAGATTGCAATTCCTTCGCCTCACCTTTCAAGCACAAAGGAGAAACTACAGCAGCTGCACGATGAATGCCCACGGCCCTATCTAGAGCCAGTTTTTGGTTTGTGGGCAACTGTAGAAACATGGTGGTTCAACATGGAAAACGACCTGCAGCGTCTGTAGATATAAAAGGCTCAATCGAAGGTAACAAAAACAAATAAATCCCTTATTTTCAGGTGATTATACATTAATAAAAACACATCTATGAGTATTATATTCTGCCAGTAGATCCTCCTAAATGTTACACACTGGACCTTTAAAACACAACCACACAACTAGCAAACAAGGAGCAATACAATTTCCTTAAAAGATCAGCAATGCACCTATTTATTAAACACAATAAAAAACTCAACTTGTTCTTCTCACTTAATTCTGTCTCTTTTCATCCTCTTTAGCTCTCTTGTCAAATCCAGTTTGAGGACAATAAGATTTTCAAGAGGGACTTCCACCTCTGGGGCGTGAGTACCTGCTATGATTACAGCGGGGGCGAGATTAGCTCACCTGTTGAAGTGATCCAAACCCTTTTGGCAGACTTTATGACGGCTGAAAGCGAAATCCTCTGCATCCAACTCTTTTCTTTGACTTCTCTTACCTTCAGGTGATCAACGTCAAACAGAGCGTGGTCAACATGGTCCCATCCAAAGTGGAGGTCACCCTACGTAAGGCCGACCAGGTGGCCTGGGGCAAACTGGAGGACCCCAACTACAAACCCGAGCCCGAGCCCATAGAGGACAACATGGAAACCACAGAGTCGTACCAGCCCGACTGGGACATCGCAGACGACGACATCAGCGACTCGGACGAAGACTGGGCCTACGACACGCGGGATAATAAAAAGAAGCCGTGGGACGAGGACGGGGAAGAGGAGCAGAAGAAGAATGAGGAAGAGAAGCAGAAGAAGAATGAGGAAGAGATACAGAATTTAAAGAGGAAGGAGGTGGAGGAGGAGATGAGGAGAGCGATGGAGGAGAGGAAGAAGGCAGAGGAGGAGAGGAAGAAGCTGGAGGAGGAGAGAAGGCAGGAGGAAGCGGGAGAATTCGAAGACATGCCAGATCTCGAGTAACCGCTCCGCTAAACGGCGTGAAGACCGGGTCTGGTTTGCATTAGGGAGGTAGAAAAAAAATTAAAATAGATTTTTTGTAATGAAGCAAATTAAATTTTTATTTCTGAAATAATCAGAGTCAAACTTTATGTGTTGTTGCTACAAATGAAATGTGGTAATTCGCAACCACGTTCTAACTTTGGAGGTCCTTCGGGGGAAGTTTTACGAGGTTGATTCTCTTGAAGGGGTGACTAACATCACACACACTGGATCCTTTATTATTTATTTAATTATAATGCTTGAAATGAAGTGAGGTTTCTTCTTAAAATGAGAATATTCTCAGATACAGCTGGATGAAATAAAGACTTCTCTATGTCTGAATTTCTGTCTTTTTGCCTCGCCTCTTCTTATGACTGTGTCTACAATGAACGACAGCTGAAATCAACACAGATAAATGGCCTGATCAATGCTATAGAGTTGTTATGCATCACACGTCCCACGCGCTGAAGCAGACAGATTAAGATTAATGATTCATTTAAAAGCCTAATGAATCATTTGAGTATCCACCGGTGTTATAGGCTGCAGCTGTAAACAAAACACTTAGCCTTTAGCTTATGAGTCATGCTGGAATTGTATTTCCACGCATGTTTTTTCATTAATATAAGCCTATTGTACATCAGCAAACACAACCTACATTGTGTTAGTCACTGACCAGCTTTACTACAGGCAAAGAAGGATTGACACAGTATGTGGTGTTATTGTTTTAGAACAAGCAGTTCTTTTTTTTTAATCCGACACCAAAGATTGTAGTCTTAACACCTCAGCATGCTTCAAATTGAAGAGCTAAAGGTTGATTTATACTTGATGGGTTTAATGGAGTCTTGCAGTGTCGATTTCGATTTAGTTGAGTGTTGGATTTTACCCGCTGATAGCAGAGCCACTACACTAGACTATATTGTGGTTTAAAGGACCAGTGGGAAGGATTCAGTGGCATCTAGTGGTTAAGTTGCAGACTACAACCATTTGAATACAGCTCAGCCTTCCAAGGAAAGCTACAGTGGCTAAAAAACTCGCAAAAAACATGAAAGAGCCATCTAGAGCCAGTGTTTGGTTTGTCTGTTCTGGGCTACTGTAGTAACATGGCAGACTCCGTAAAAGAATACTTGCTCCCTCTGTAGATAATAACTGTTCATTCTAAAGTAAAACATTTTCAGGTGATTATACACAAATGAAAACATAGTTATGAATATTATATTCAATTTCTGCCAATAGATCCTCCTAAATGTTACATTTAACCTTTCATTTTTGCCTGCAACTTATCCTACTCTATTTAGTACTACTGTTTTTCCTACAATAGGCACTCTAAAGTGAGGGATTTTCATTACTTTCAGTACACACATGCGACGGACTCCTATCCACATATTCCATACAAATTTAAGAAATTGTCTGTATCACAGAAACTTCAGACCAACCAGAACAAATGTTACACCATTTTTCTATATCATACTAAATATAGTCTTCGAAAGCAATTGGGTTAATTTAGTACTCATTTTTTACACTATTTTGTGATACAGTGATGGTGGACTAAAGTGTAAATCAAGCTTAAAAGTCTCTAAATCTCCAGTGCGAAAACTTTTAATAATTTTTCTAAACAGACGATCTATCAGACTTTATGCAGTAATTCGCCAGATATGCTAAAGTGGGGAAGAGCTAGGTTTTTTATTTATTCTTAACTGTTTGTATGATTCCAGCACCAGAAATTCCCTTAAATGAGGTCTGAAAGTTTCCGAAAGTGCAGTTAAATCAAGTTAAGGCCACAAAATTCTCTTTCAGAGAGATTGAAGAGGGAGTAGGATACCTTTGAATGCGGCCAATCGAGAACAGCTATTAAGACTTTTACCTTTAGACTTGGTCGGACGACGCGTTGCACGACCTAGTTCGTTTGAAGCATACTGAGTCCTTTACTATCTCTTCCCCTGCAAGGGAAAGAAAAACTGAAGAGCAGCAGGTCAACGGGGATGTGGGAACAACACAAAGGTAAAATTTCAGTGCTTAACGCCTGTAATTTACCAAACATCACTGACTAAAGGTATGGTCACGTGACATTTCCACCCTACAAGTTCACATTTGACTGTTTGGAAAGCTATTCTAATGTGTTTCAGCATATTTTGTACATTATCACACACCATTTATTGTATATTTATGTATATTTTCAGGGCTGAGTTTGGGGCAATTTTGTTAAATGGAAGTGTTTATTGTGACCAGACCTTGCATGCTGAAACTTTTCTCAGTATGGGTAATCATCATTGACACATTACACCAAAGGACACAAGCTTCACACTTCAATAATTCATTTAATCTCCAAAGGGTTGCGCTGACTTTGTCTTTGTTACACACTGCACACGATAACACAATAAAACACCTCGCAACGTACAAGGTCGTGCAACATCTAGTCTGGCTTCCAGCATTGCGCACACAGTCTTAATATATAGGCTGTTCAGATCAGGGGGGTGCGTTCACAAATGTTGTCTATGGAATACTGTTGCACAAACATGGTGGGGTGTTTGTAATCGGTGGGTTCGTTTCAGTTTCTCAGCTTTCTCTTATCAGCTCCATGTTGCTCCTTGGAAGAGTTTCAGTCAAAAAAAAATACGTTTTTACCGTTTTGAAAAATATGACACTCACACACACACACACAAAAAAAGATAAATTATGATGCTTTTAAAAGAACAAAATATATATAATCCTTGGTTAAAAGACCATTAAACATAGGCAACTTTTCTTTACAACCTCAAAATGGATTCCACCACATGTGTGTTACCCAAACTGGACATCTTTGTGTTCATTTTTCAGCACAACAAATGCTACTTAAAGCACAAGATAGTCTCTCAAATGATGTTACAATTTCAGAATTATACACAAAAAGTTCACCCAAATATTGGCTAAACATAGGCTGAATATGACATCTTTTTTTGTGTGTAAACGATTCATTAGCAGTCTGTAATAACACTGGAGAATTCCAATAACTTTGGCTTACTTCAATATCAACTAACTTTTTTAGAATACTATCTCAATACCAATTGGCATGACATTGGAAAGACATTTCCATGACATTGCTTTGCGGCAGTGGAATGACATATGAGCACATGTAATAAGATTGGCGTTAAATGGGAGATCTCAAGCTGCTGTGAGAGTAATTGTACAACCACTGATGTAATAAACATTTGTGTATACATCTTTATATATATATTTATCATTCTTTTACGTTTGGTTAGATATATTACATTTTATCAACACATTTTTGTCCGTATACATTTATCATAAATAAAAGATTTTTGTCATCAAATCAATTAAAAAAACACTCGTAAACACTCAGAAAAATCTTAAACACACACACGCACACATGCACACAAATGTCTTTTTTTCCCCATTAAGTTTGCTTCTTCGTAAAGTGCAAGGCAAGATACAGTAAACTTTGAAATGTACGACATACAACAACTTTCGCATCTGAAGCTCGCACACTTTCACACACACCTTGTATGTCTCGTATCCCACTGAACTCAGTACAAACTTGGCACAACACTACTAAAGCCTCTAAGGTGTAGAGCGTATAGCTGGCACACTATGGATACAGTAGCACAATCCTACCAGAGCTGGACATCTACAACGCCTCACAGTAACTCTGCTCTATCGAGGGATAGCTTGGGTTAGTTCCATAAACGTGTAAATAACTGAGAGAATCAAGAACCAACCCTTTACATAAGTGGGAAAAAGCACAGAAATGATACTTTACAAGTTTACAGCCTTGCTTGTGGATGTAATATCTAAGCTTCTGGATCAGACCCGAGTCAAAGTGTCGGCACGCTCATGTTTTGTCCCTTTTTTTTCAGTTTTTAAAGTGGTGGAGTTGCATCACGACAAATCAACTTTAGGCAAGTTGTGTATCATCAAAAGAAATACTTTTTTGTGGTTTTTCATAATGCCTTTACATGATGTTAGTTAACTCCACCTATGGGACTCTGCAGAGCTTACGGACATTTCTAGCTAATATTTGACTCAGATTTAATCTCGACTAGTGAACATTACTTCTCGATTACATCCTGGCCATTTAAACTTTTAAAGTAATACTCTGACATTTTAAGAAATTCACATTTTTGCTGTTTTAGCGTTAGATGAGAGGAACTCTGTCCATTCAGTACGGAGTTAGCTTCATGCCGGTTTATCCTAGTTTAGGCCAAAGCAAAGGAAACAGCTAGCTTAGTTAAATCAAACCTCTAACAAGTACAAAGCTATCTACTGTATCTGTATATTTAACACTTTTAGTAAAAGAATATGCTGTTTAATAAGTAATTGGCTTACACATTGGAGCTTTTTTTAACTGGATTGTAGCCTCATTATAGACAAATTGCTAGCTTCAAACTTTTTCGTGACAAAAAAAAAACTCTAGGACTTCTTGGTAACTAGTTTGCAAGCTTATAAGATACATGTAAATAACGTTTTGGGAGTTGCTTGAAGGCGTATTTTACTTTCGATGGTTCCAGTTTTTTTTTTTTGCTTTGCTAAGCTAAGCATGCCTCAGAGCTCTTTCTGTGCCTTTACTGAGTGGACATAGGTGAAAAAGATATTAATCTTCTGGCCTATGTTGCAGTAACACAGCAAAAATGTGAATTTCCCAAAATGTCTGACCATTCTTTCCAAGAACATTACTGTAAAACCTGGGTAGAAGTTGCCTCTAGAACCCGTGAACATCGATATTTAAGCCATTTCCGAACAGCAGCACGCGCATCCAAGATCATTTCATGTACTCGCTTTGGCCGTAGCTCGGTCAAATAATGATCATGAAATGTTGTGGTTTGTTCTAACCTGCTTGGAAAACCCTGTGGATAGACAGGGTGTAAATCAATACACTCTCTTTAAGTTTGGACAACACAGTAAAGTATTTGACATTTAAGTGTGTTTTTTTTGGCAGAATAAGTGTTCTCTCACGGTAAAACCCAGACCATCTGGTTCAGCAAGCAGGTTAAAACAAAAAAAAAGTATTTGCAAATGCTGCTGATTGGAACAAACAAGCTAGAAATCACTATTTTGAGGCAACTTCAGCCCTCACTGTGAGGCGAGGGAAGGCTAAGTATGCATGCAGGGACACACAGAACAGCATTAATTGGCTTTGATTATATGCACAGTGGCCAAGGAGTTTGTCAAAGGGGGAAGCAGCAAAGCCAGGACAGCTTCACAGATTACCATTGGGAAAATAAGATATACAAAAAAATAGATATATATTTGTAATAATAATAATAATAATAATAATCATAACGATGATAATAACAGCTTTTATCCACGAACAAGGCAAACTCAAATATCAACTCTTATTCTTATATTACATATACAATCAGGAGTATGGCAAAGTAGGAGCAATATACTGAGTAGCTGTAATGTTTTGTTAAGGTGTCCTTGATGCTTCCTCCTTCTGTAAACACCTTCACCATACACTGCCAAAAAAACTTATTGAGTCATTTCATCTGGTACTGTATCTCAAAATTCAAAAGTGGAATAAAAACAAAACAAAAAAAAAGTGCCGTGGGATGAATTATTTTTTTTTTTACTCCCACATAAGTCACATTTTAGACCTTGATAATAACTGAGCAATGTACCGTGCTTCAAATCCCACAGTTGGATCTTTTCAGAAAAGGCTGAATTCCAGATGAAATGACTCATCATAAAAGAACATTATTTTTGCAGCGTGGCTGCATAGCCTCGGATCACACAAGTCAGACAACAGCCTATTAAGAACCACTTTAGAACCACAACAGTAGAACCTTTGTGAAATCTTATATAATTTATCATTTAACATTATCATTATTCACAGGTTAATACAAGTCCACACGAGTACATTCCTCAGTACATTTTTTGCAACATTTAAGATATCCCCCCAGTTCAGTAGACGATAAGGTTGAGATGTTTCAGGTTGTTCATTTTGTTGATTTGTTGCCGTTTGAAGTTCTCATGGCAGTAGCAACAACAAATAAATACTCTTCGAAAGTCTTGAGAAAAATCAAAAGTCTAAAGGCTATTCGTAAGTTCAGAAATAAAACGACTTAAGTTAGAGAGAAAATAATTAAAAGACTAACAACTTAAGATAGATATAAAATAAGATGGCGGCACTCGACATGCAAGGAGAGCACCACGTAAACACAATTCTTTGTCCAAAACAAAAACAACAAAAAAAGTTTGCGAGAACATTTTGATTCCACGCCTCCCTTTGTCCTCTGTTTGATTCGCTGCTGGCCAAGGCAACTTCCTAACTCAAGCAGGTAAACAGAACCAAAAGCAGAATGCCAGTGGTGAAGCAATGCGATGCAAAGCCAGGCCCCTTACGTTAAAACGATAAATAATAAAAAAACAAGAAATAAAAACTTCTCCCTGCGAAATGGAGGATAAAGAAGTTAGACAGGGAGGAAATGGCATAAATGTTGGGAAGATGGTTTTCCTTTTCTTCCTCACACCTCTGTCAGGCCACTGGGTATCGCGATTAGGAGGGGAGAAGAACAGGAGGGGTGCTCCTCACCCCTGGTTGTTATGGGGAAAGCACCTCCTGCAAAACTTCAGTTCCCCGAAGAATCTGCCTCACCGGCCCCACTTTTGATATCCCAATTTCCTGCAAGAGAGAGAGAGAGAGAAACTAAATTAAAACGACAAAGTATGCATGTCTTTCTTTGTCGACAATAAATAAATAAACATTACCAATATGACAAAAAATGCTGATACAGATGCTGCAGATGCGGGTTAGTATTTCCGATCTTGAAGTGTAGCAGCTGTAAACCTCCCCAAAATGAATGGATTAACATATGAACCAAGACCGGCTGCCTACATCTTCTTTTAGAGTAGGTGCACAAAAAGACACAAAACACCTTCAAAGATCTGATAATGGAAACTGTTAGCTACCAACCCTATCCCGACCCTTGACCCTAACCCTAAGCTATACGGAACTTATATGGCTCTGAGACACGGTTTCACAACACAGTGCAGAAGTGGATCAGGCTCCATAAAGCCTAAATATAAATCACAAATTCCTGGAACAGCTGTGATCCAGATCCCCACAAATCGGATCAGATCCTTAGCTGTTTCTCTTTCTAGACAAAGACAACTAATATGGCTTGCATATTGTGGCCTTGAGCATGATTGCAGAACACGATGAGGAGTTTTTGACATCTGGCATACGGACTCTATATCCATTACTATCCATAAATAAACGCCTGGATCAGGGCTCAGAACATCCTGAGCCGAAATGTCGCTTCTCGTTCTAAACAAAGGGAACTTGTATGGTTTGTATACTGTGGCTCTGAGGCATGATGACACATGGTGGAGTTTTTGACAGCTGGCATACCTAGGGCAAACAATCAATCTAATGTCTGAATCAGTTAGGGACTTCCTTCAGATGAACTATAGTTTCTCCTTCTAGACAAAGGAAACTACATATCAGTCCCTAGATTTTCTAATGCAATGAGTTTTTTTGAAGGACTTTTTTCTGTATAATTCATTAAAAATGTATGTCGTTCCAGTGAGAGTAACATTGCTGGTATTTTGGTGACGTATGACTCAGCATTTTGCACGGCCGACTGCTATGATTGGTGAAACTCGCAGGAAACTACAGGGATTTGTAAAATGAGCTGAAAAGGTCGCACAGAATTCACAGCCATTGGATGAATGTGCGTTAATTGTTGTGATCGCAACTTCCTGGAGGGACTGAAATGTGGCTGTCATACTGACGCATGGTTGCGTATCTGATGACGTAAGCTTTGAATCAGGGCTCTGTCCCGATCGCTTACCTGAGAGAGAGCTGTTGGACTTCTGCTTGTGGAGCTTCTCTCTCTCCTTCTTCACCTTGGGTATGATCTTCAGCTTCATACTGCTGCTGCTCTTACTGCTGCTCCTCACCGAGTCCTAAAAAAAGAAGCACAGATCGTTGGGAACGTGGAAATGCACCCAAGAAATATACGAGATTTTGAGACTGGGATATCAGAAAGGGTAGATGGGCTGAGCAATGACACTGTGGCACCTGGTTGGTTGTTAGACTGTGATAATACAATGGATTTCCTCTCACACACAGACAAACACAGACTGAATTCAAACCCCTACCTCCTCTGAACACTGCATGAGCGGACAGATCCAGTGGATGTCGTCCAGCTTGTGGAGCTCGGCACTGAGGCTGTTCAGAGTCGACCGAAGCTCTTCTTCCTCGGGAGAATCCGACTGTGGAGGATGAGGAGCGGGATGTCAGTGTAATATCTATTTATTTCTCAACTGTGATTTCTGGTCCTGGTGTGATATTTGATCATGGGGATGGATCACAACGTACAATAGCGTGCCTGAAGACATTTTTGGAAAATATCCTCCATCTGTGAATCTTAGAATGCTAAATGCTAACATCTGCTTTGTGTTCCCTGCTTATCTGAAGATGATGTACATTTTGACACCCTACGTATATCATGCAAATTCACCGATTTGTAAACAGTAAACATCTGTTAACCTTTAATTCTGTCAACAGTAGGGGCGTATTGCAAATTCTTTCAAACTGAAAGCGATTTACATATTATGCTAATACTTTCTGTTTGCTGCCTTATTTATCCGCGTCTAATCATCACAGTTTCATTTCATCTTATCTCTCTCATTGCAAGTGAGTTTAGGGAAGCAAAATGACTGCTTGAAGTTCATCATTTCAATGTCATGTCAGAATTACGTAGGATTAAATTAGCGAAAGTCTGAAAAAGGTTGTAAACATTTCAAAAGTGAGGCAGATAAAAAGCAGAGCAGAAAAACAGCAGATAAGAACAAAACAGAGAGGGAGGTGAATTTAGATAGAAATTAAAGTACGTCCCCAGCATTGTTGTAAGCATCGTTGTCATGTCATGGTCGCAGGAGTGTTAATATATTTGCTCTTCTGCACAAAGGGCTATTGTGACATAAGGTAAATGTCCTCACAGGGAAAATTAAGCTATAGCAAACAAATCCCGAGCAAAAGACAATGAACAGACAGAAAGCGAAATGTGAGACGTCAAGGCTTGAATGGGCTTCAGCAGAGACGGAGAGACCGCGGAGGGGAAGAGAATAGGCGAGGGAAACAAAACAACACAGAGGAGACGTGGATGAAATTGTAGAGTTGTACCAGTAGTTTTCCATCCAGCAGCATCTTGGTCTCAGCCTGGAGAACTTTACTGCTGTTGACGATTTCCACCGCCGTGCTGCGACTTAGACACTGAAAATACAAATGATTGTTCAACATTGAGGTCACCCTGACCCAATAATAAAATGTGCAATGTAAAGCTGAGGATACAGGTGATACACAAGTCCACTTTGTTTCACTAAAATATCAGAACAAGTTATTTATCATTAAAAAAAAATGTCTATGGTTTATTTATTGTAGTCAGTATGCCTCAAAAATCTACTCCCATTTCTCAGTGTTTAATATTTGCACTTAGACTTTTGATGTTTGATTTTACTACAACAGGGAACTCCTAACAGATGTACCAGTTTACAAAAATCCCAAAATGTTGTAGTTTATGTATATGCAACTTGCAATACAAGATCTGCAGACTGTACAGTTCCAATGATTAAATAAAGTGAACCCAAAGCGTCCAATATTAGATGAATTATAAGATCTTATAAATAATTCTGTGACTAATTAAAGAAAATATTTAGAACAGCTGTCAAATAATCTAATACATTTTTATTTTATTTCCAAATGCCCTTTGTCCCAAATCTGTGTTTATTACACAATGCCACTTTTCCCAATGGCCGTCTATTTATTAATATCACTATGTCAATGATGCGTTTCAGATTAACAGGCTGCAGAATTAACAGCCTGTAAACTGACATGAGACCCAGGCGTATTGCTAAAAATGTGTATGCTTTACCCCTCCATTTCATCAATCAAATCAGCCATATGTCCATCCATCTGTCTCCCTCTCCTCCTCCTCGGTGTCTTACCTCAGGGCTGGACAGTTTGGCCTCTGTGAGCACCAGGGCGGTGGCGTTGACGGCGTGAGCCAACTCTTGCTCCACCAGCTTGTGGGTCTTGGCTGCCTCACGGATCCTGGGAAGGACGAGGGAGGAAATCATCGACTTGAAAGAGCTGTAATTATTATTTCAACATGCTGAAAGGGCACAATTATGATGATTACTCCAACAAGTTGTCTCTTTCTGCATCTCTGAGTTCAGTTTGTAGATGTTTGGATTCAAAACTTTGCCAAGATTTTGACCTGTGAATGACAAAGCTTAATTACATTAAAATGAAGCCCTCCATACATTTCCTTGTTGACTCTTAAATTGCTCAGGTTTTCTCACTGAAACTTAATCGATGTAAGTCTTCTCAACTTGGTAATACGTGGAAAATCACATACTGCACACCCTTTATTCTGCTCTCAAACTGTCCATATCAAATATCTTCCCTTTCTCCGCGACCAGGAGAAATCCCCTTTATGACCGTTTCTCAGCTTCTGAGATAAGTTTACAAATGTAATTAAGATATTCATCATCCTGAAAGGGGGATTTGTTTTGTAAACATCATTGAGAAGATTATAATAAACCAGTCAAACTGAGAAGTCCTCAGAGGAACACAAATGGTTTATAAGTGCGAAAAAGAGAAATAAAATGGCTCATCAGTGCAACAGAGAAAAACTTAGCAAATGAGAGAGCTAATTGCGGTGGGAAGCACAAATCCCAAAATGTAGAGCAAAATTCCCCCTTGACCCTTCTTAACACAAAAACACACAAATGTTAATTATAAAACAGGAAGGTTGCTGATAAGCTTGTGTTAGAGGCCTTTATGCAAGACCAACAGAGTGTAGATCACACAGCGAAAAACTCAAACTATGTATGTGTACCACTGATGGTAAGCTGCCTCTAGTGGTATGCAGAGGAAAATGAAATAAATAAATTTAAAAGGACATATAATGCAATGAATATACTACAAATCATTGAATGCCAATACTTAAAATATGAGACTGCTGAAATTTCCTGTGATATTTTTGTTTCAATATTAGCCTCTGTTTACGCGTACATCCATGATTAGGAAGAAGCTAAAAATGTCCTAGCAAGATAATAAGCGGAGGTAAAATGAATGGTTCAAAAACACTGCAATCGTGGCTCCAAACAGGAACCATTAGGAACAGGAGTGTGGACCAGGGGCCGCCCTTTTCCACCAAATTAGGTTCTGTTCAGGATTCAACAACAGTTGAGAATAAATAATCTTCTCCTGCGTGAACGGTCCATCACTGAGTAGAGTCCTGCGCTACTGTATTTATCCGTCATAAAGGTGGTATTTGGAAAGCCTACCTGGTGTAAGAAGTTTGTCAGTTAAAATATGACACTCGAAGTTTTGAGGTCCGAAATATCAACCGAGGGCCTTTAAATGTTTTCTCCAGCTGTCAAAATGTCTTCAAACCTCAACCTGCTTCCTGTACACGCTACAGAAAACATGAAGTGATTCTTACTTATTGATGAGGGTGTCGGCCACGATGCCCAGCTGCTGAACCTGAGCGCACTCCTCCTCAGTCAGGTACTCCATGGACTGCTGGGAGTTAAGGCGGGGCCTGCTGTCGCGGTAGCTGTCGATCTTCCTCTTATCCTCCCATGACTTAAGCGTGCTCTCGAATGCCTGGTTGTACAAAAACGGCAAGGAATTAGGCTCAAGTCACCCGGAGACTGGTGTGTTTGTTCCTTTTCGGCACTGAGACAAGCACATAAGGTTCAGTCGCTTCTTGAAAATACAAAAATGCAATCGCATTCTGATTAAAGGTGGTTCTTAAGGTATTGTGTGCTTGTGTAGATATAAACTGAAAACTCAAGGTAGCAATCAGAATGAGGACACAAGAATATATGGAAGAGGTTCCAGTATAAACAGTTGCTTTTTTACCTCATGCCTGAATGAGATACACAAGGAAAAAACTGTATTTTTATTTGAACTGAGCCAACTGAGGGCGAAAAAAGCAAAACAAGGAAAAACAGACAGAAAAGGTTGTTTTATTACATCCAGATATGAATTTAATTTAACACTCTGTCAATAAACATCCCTCAACCGGGCATCCAGCAGGGACGACGCTCACCTGAAACATTACTGTCACCGTTTGACTGAATAAAAGCCACATTTAGGAGGATAAAACCAGTGAGCCAACATTCTTCTCTCTCTCTGCTGTACTTAAGGAGGGAAACCATGGAAACAAACTGCCCAAATGTGCTTGGCTCAAGAGAGCTCTCAAAGGTTTGAGCAGCGTGAAGAGAGAACAAACACAGTGGGTATGAATTTGATTTAAGAAATCCCAAAATAGAAAGAGTCAACAACATGGGTAGAGAACTGAAGCCGGAGAGCCGAGAGTGGATTTTTAAGCTGCAATATTTATAAAAGGAAGAGTATTTCAAGCCAATACTGCTGTTTTACATATACATACAGTGTTTTTAAAGCATTTCTATACAGTGAAAATTAAACTAGATGTATTCAGTAGAAATCATGAGCAACATTTAAATGTTCTGGCTATATTATTCAGCAGATAATTCATATTCAAGTTGGACATTACTCTGTCTCTGGTGAGCATCTGTGCTCGGTTCTTGTGGTTGATCTTGACGATGCCAGGCGGCTGGATCCAGGCCTCTCCGTCCACCTGCACAGGGACCCCCTCCTCCCCGAGGATGGTGATCTTCACCTGGCGGCACTGAGACGCAACAGAGCAGAAAACAGCAGCTGTCAGATGAGACTTCTTGTTCTTTTTTTTCCTTCCAAGCATAGAGTGCTTTTTTTTTTTTTTAAATGCTTGACCTCATCTGTCCTCTGCTGTTGGACATTGAGCATGTGATCCTGTCAAATCGGCACCTTTAAAAGCTACAGGAATAGCACCAGCGATTTTATTTTATTACATTAGGTATCTGTACTCTCTGTGTTAAAATGCCCGATGGGCCAAAGACATATAAGGCTTTGTCTATTTTATTCCATCCCCCAAATGGTTTCCTTTTTCTAAGCTGTCAAACTGTTATCTCCTGTGACATTCTGTTTTAACCAAAGAATGATCAAATTAAAGTACAAAAACGCCACTGAAATACTGTTCTTGTGACTGAAAGGGAAATGTTTCTCATTCACATCAGGTTTAGAAGATTAAAATAAACTCCAGTACATCTGTCTTTGTGTACAGCTGCTAACCCCTGCACAACTTACTCGAGGTTGTTTGCTGTTTTGCAATCTAAGAATCTAAGCGTTTTCATTTAATGTTGAAGTTATTTTGAACCACTTAAACTGAAATGAGAATAACAGTCTACAGCTATATTAGCATCTCTGCGAGGCTGTACTTAAATTCTGTTGATGTTTAGCAATTTAACATATTCCCCAATCTTAGTTTAACGTGTGAGCATGCTAACATCTGCTCTAGCACTACACAAGTACAGCTGGGGCTGATGGTAACGTGATTAGTTTGAACCAAAGTACTGAACAAAAGAACGTCTAATATTTTCAATAAATTGGACGTGATGAAACCATTTGAGACTGTAACTGTGATTAGAAATGTGTGTCCATTATAAGAAGGGGTGTGTGTTGTGTGTTACCTGTGCAATGCGGTGGTGCTGCAGGTTGATGACTCTGGACATGGCCATCTGCATGCTGCCAAACACCGCCACCACCTCCAACTTCTTATCGTCAAATGACGGAGCGCCAAAGTTCTGAACAAAGGAGATGAGAGCAATCTGTCACCTTCAAATGTGTCTGTTAAACATAACTGAAACTGATGTTTAATGAAGCTGTGCAGCTTTTACATAAAATAAAAGGTATTTCTTGGAGGTGTAGATACACTCTATGCTTCTCCTTTCACTACACTCACATTATCCTCCTTGGTTCCTCCCCAGAAGTTGATTCCTCCTGCATAGCTGGGGATGTTGAGCACAGCCAAGCCCTGCAGACTCGGCAGAGACATGGGGACACCGTCACACTGAAGACAGAGAGAGGAGAGGAAGTTATAAAGGAAGAAAAACACAGGATGCTAGAGGAAAACAGCTGATAGCATTTTGTTTCCCAAAACGTGTGTGTCTGACCTCTAGCTGAACTCGCTGCTCCAGGTTCTTGTACGTCTTCTGGACCAGCTCTTTAGTCCCTAGCACTCCGTACCACATCATGTTCTTGGTGCGACTGCTGCAGGAGGAGACAGGAGTGAAGAAACCAATCAACACTGGTTTTGTTTCATCAGAATCAAACTTTGTCGACCAAATTAAACTATGTCCTCGTGGTATTCAACATAGAAACACAAGCTTTTCCTACATAATGTAACAATCATGTAGTTTTAATTGGTTTATTGGTCACCAATTTTAATTATTTGCAGTTAAAGGTGCAAAATGTTGTGAACCACATACAGCACCCCAGTTGTCAAATTAAGTCAAAAATTGACCCAAAATCCAAAAGTTAATTAATTTAATTTAAAATCTGATGTCTGCATATATTCATATCTCACTGCACTGTAACTGTGCTATAATTCTTAATCCCCATGTTTAATCTGTCTTGTTCTATTTTAGCATATTTTTTATCTTCCATCTTAATTTACTTGTTGTCCTGTTGATATGCCTTTTGTTTTGTTTTCTGTTTTGTTTAGATCTTGTCTTACTGCCTTTCATCTCTTATGTAAAGCACATTTACATGACCTTGCTGCTGAAAGGTGCAAAAGGTGATCCTTTATTACTCTTCTATAACATCAGTAGTTAACAATGATCTGCACTCTCACGGTACTTGACACAGATGTTCCATTAGCAATGTGTTGTTTGTTCTGGGTATTGAACCCTCAACACAATCAGGATATGGAGATGGGCTTTCTTTATATGCAGATGATTTGCTGCTGTATGTGTCTGACCCTGTTTCATGTATAATCAGTATTATTGAGAATGTATTGTATAATTTAAGTATTATTCTAAATGTGTGTTTCAAGAATACTACATCAGTGCTGACCTTTGGTGGAGAAACACTAAACAGGAAATAATACAGTTTTACAGTTGCAGCACTAATATTTGTTGTTGGCAAAGAGAGCTGTTGAGTTACATGATTTATTAAAATGCTCTGTGAACAGATTATAATTAATTTTTTGTGTTCATACCTGCATTTTTTAGGGTGCTCATCTCTCTTGTTGTTGAACTCAAGGGAAATCTTGGCATCCAGGCCAATGCCAAAGTAGTTGTTCATCACACACTTCTCTGAGCACTGACTAAAAATACAGAAAATACATAGATTGTTTATCAAAATCATAATACAAGGGCACATTAGTAAGCCACAGCTGGTATGTGAAGAACACGGATGTACAAAAACTTACACGGTGTCCTCGCTGAAGGTGACTGTGTTGAGGCTCTCTGGTTTCTCAAGGACAATGGGTGAGGTTGGACTTAAGCTTCCTTGACCTGAGAATCATAATTTGTCAAAAAATAATAGTTTCATTTTAAAATTGGAACTATCAGTGTTTTTAAAAACAAAATAATGGCAGAGTCATTCTTGAAGGAATGAGTCGCCTTCAAACCCTTTCTGACAAATTGCAGTGGTAAGAGTTTTTAAAATACTGATGTATTTTGGAGTATGTCCCTTCTCCTCGTATCCTTGCTGAAATCAAACTAAAGGGACACTTACGTGGCTCAGCATCCTTCAGCTCCTCGCTGTTTTCTCTTTTGATGGAGGACGAGGACGACATCCTCTGGACCTGCGTGTGTCGGTTCTGCTCGTCCACCACTGAAAAGGTGACATAAGTGAACTTAATGCAGCACAAATCAAGGCATGATTGTGTCAAAATGATACCAAAACAAAAATGGAGGAATAGTGAGACAAGGAAAACAATACATTTCTAGCTGTTACCGGAGTGGCCCTCATCCTACCTTTCTCAGCCTGTTCGATGATCTGTCTGAGTGCTTTCTTCAGGCTGTTGGCTCGCAGCATCAGCTGCTCCTTGGAACGGTACGTTTTACCCTCTGAACCTGACTCTCCGCCACTTTCTCCAGGGCTCGAGCTGCCACTCTCCTGGCTGGGTACCGAACCTGCTGGCACCACCTGGATATGGCACGATAAAGAAAAGGAAATATCCTCTTGCTATAAAATACATCCTTGTTAAGTGATCTTTCCCCTGTGAGATTATCATTCATACATTTTTACTGTTCCTGCTCTGTAGAACCTCATAGTAGTGCAACATCTCCTGTCTCCCTCATATTTCTGGAAAATAAATCCATATTTTATTTATCAAATATGAAAGGATGCTTGATGCAAAGCTAAAATTCAGCGCCTTTCCCCTTTTATTGAGCGGGAGGTTGAAATCATACTGACATTTTGAGGGCTGCGTTATTTCCGACATCAATCTGTGAATAAAAGACTCCAAAGGGAGCACAGACACAAAAAGCTATACACGGTTTTGTTTTTTAGCTCCTGTGAGGACACTTAAGATGCTGAAAGAACCATCATTGCTTTTACTACTACTACTCCTGCAAAGGTTGAATCAGGGGGATTTACTCTCAACTCTCTCTCTGATGTTGCAACTGAGGAGAAACACTTTATATCCTCTCTGAGCTAACACCAGTCAGTATCTCAGAAATATGGTGCGTTACTCTTCTGTTCAACTTTACCTTTATCGTTACCCCACTAAGTGGAAGATATCTGAAACTGACATTTTGTGCCTATTACTTAATAACAAAGCACAGTCAACCCATGATTCCTCATCAAAATATCATGTTTTTAAAGTACATAGTATTTAACTGGTAAAATGCTAAGATAATAACTTTAATCATCTGGTGACCCCTTAGAGGGATCCTGACCCTCAGGTTGGGAGCCACTGTCATAGACAACCATACTAATACTGCTCAGTTAAACAGTAAATATAGGCTTTTCATCCAGTTCAAATCTCATTTTGGTGCAAAACACTTTCGATATAAAGAATTATAATTTTGGATGGTTTTGTGATTTTTAATCAAGCTACACTGATTGCTATGATTATTTCATATTGATTATAATTGTGTGTTATTACCTGGGCCTCCGCTTCCTCACTTAAGGCCTTTACAAGGGAATCGAGCTTCTCGTTCAGCAGTGCACACTGGGAGAAGAGACAGACAGAAATAGGTTTTTTATTGTTTATACAGCTTACTTGAAAATCTTATAGGGGAGTGTAAATTGGGAGATACAGTACACATGAATGCTGGGCAGAAGTTCCTAAATGTGTGCAACTGCAGTAACACCTTAAAACTAGCGTGAAATCAATACCTTTACAGCACACAGAGGTCTTTTATTTGCAGACGCAATAGGTGAATTTCCCTTCGGGCAACAATAAAGCTTCACATTATTTGGATAAAGAGAGATAAGCTGGACGGAGCTCAAAGCGCTCTGACAGGAAGGTTTGGATGAAAGCTCGAGACGCTTCTGTCAGGCAAAAAGATTTTCCCTTTTTGGAAATGTCTCACAAACAGCTTCTTTTAAGAAAAAGATTTGGCAATCCACTCTTTTCGTTGTAGTTCCACCTTTACTGTTGGAAAATCATCTTTTTCCAACAGTAAACAGTAAACAGTATTTGACAGTATCACATATATGTTCTGCATAAGCTTGTTCTATAAACTATGTTATTTACACTAAAGAAGAGTAAAATATTCAAACTTAGCGACTCAATTTCCACCAAATTCAGCCTGACATATTTTATACCTTTGGAAACTACGGGATCTCCATTACATCATTCATTTAGAAAAAGTGCACACATTTCTTTAAGAGTCTAAATTAAATCCAAAAATACTGCTGGAATCAGCTGTTACAGAACAGTCTAGTACCACTGTCAAACTGATGTCTATATTACCTAACTTATTAAGAAAATGAAAATAGAAGACACACCTAGCTCTAACTTCAGGTTAGTTTTTTCTTCATTGAAGTGGGAGTATTTCAGGTAGAAAAGTGACTTTAACCTACTTTTCCAACTGTTACAAAACACATCCACATCTCTTTAATACTCATATTCCTTCCAGCTACAGCTGTTCTTTAAACTGCCTTGATATAATGTGTCAAATATTTGAGTAGATAGAATATATGGACTACTAGAGGGAATGATGAACCTTCAACTATTTCTGTCAAACTCTATTATGTATACACACACACACAAACACACACACTGCCCACTAGTTACTGTTATACAAGCTCTTACATAATACATACGATTACACACAAAAACCATTTACCTTCTTTGCCATGGCATCTGCCTCCTCCTTGTTCTCTGTGGCTCTCTCGTACGCCTTCCCCACCTCCGCCACAAAATCATTCACCGTCCCACACAGAAACCTGACGGGGGAGGTGGAGAGAGAGAGAGAGAGAGGAGGGAGAGAGGGAGAAGGAAATGAGTAGGAAGGTTAACATGATTAACGATGAAAATTTAACAAATTAGCAGGTGAACACATTTCAGATTTGGTGATTCACTGTGCAGTGTTTGAAGATTTCACACACACACACA